GAATAACTTTACAGAGCAGGACAGCTTCCCGACAACCTAGACTCTTCCCTGTAGAACTGTTACATAAAAGGAGAATCACCTGTTTCCTATAAGCTACTGTCTTGGGGTCTCTTTCAGCTTCATCTTTTTCTGCTAATACAAGGGTAATGGAGGCATACAAGGCATGGAAGTTGTAATTAACAACAGATTATTACAGACCAATGCAGAAGCCACCAATACAGGCTGCTGTGTTCTCCCAGTGCATCTCATTTTCTGATTCTATTCTATTAATAGAAGGGGGAGACACACTGAACGCTGTATGAGCACTGTCATGAGGCATCGAACAATCTCACAGTCCAGGACTTCTGCTAGGTTCTAGCCACCATTAGATAATCCTTTTTGGTGGCTCAGTGTGAGGTACATAGGTTATACTACTTCTGTCTCTGACTTTAAAATGTATGTTTTTGTCTTTTATAATTTTGACCACAATGTTTAGAAAATCATTTTCATTTGCAACTCTCTTTGTTTACCACGTCTTCCCTCTTTTTTAAGGATTAAGTGTTTTTTTTTGATAATCACCTTTCAAATCTCAAATGTAATACCTTACCTTTAATATAGCTATGCACTTTTAATTTGCACTTCTAAATCGGGAATCAGAAAACTACCACCACCTACTGTTTTTTGTTCTGTTTTGGTTTTATTATTTTTTATTGTGGGAAAATACACATAAAATTACCATCTTAACCGTGTTAACAATTCACTGACATTAAATGTATTCAGAGTGTTATGCAACTATCCCCACTATCTAGCTCCATAACTCTTTTCATCTTATGAAACTGGAACTCTATACACCTAAAATAATATTTTCCTATTCTCTCAGCCACTGACAATCAGCTTTCTACTTTCTCTTTAGATGTTTTTTGACTCTCTCAAATAAGTGAGATCACAGTTTTTGTCCTTTTGTGACTGGCTTATTTCACCTTGCATAATGTCCTCAAGGCTCACCCATGTTGTAGCATATGTCAGAATTTCCTTTCTTTGTGAAGGCTGAATAATATTCCTTTGTATGTATACATGATATTTCATTTATTCGTTCATCTGTTGATGCACACTTGGATTAGTTCCACATTGTAGCTGTGTGAATAATACTATTGTGAACATGGGTGTACAAGTATCTCTCTAAGAGCTTGCTTTCAGTTATTTTGGGTGTGTACTCAGAAATTGAATTGCTGCATCATATAGTAATTTTATGTTTAATTTTTTTGAGGAACTGCCATACTGTTTTCCACTGTGGCTGTACCGTTTTGCATTCCCACCGAGAGTGCACAACAGTGCACCAATATCTCCTTATTCTCACCAGCGCTTGTGATTTTCTGCTTTTGAATACCATCCTAACGGGTGTGAGGCGGCATCTCGTTATAGTTTGGTTTTGCATTTCTCTAATGATGAGTGATATGGAGCATTTTTTCATGTGCTTAGTGGACATTTTTATATCTTCTCTGGAGAAATGTCTATTCAAATCCTTTGCCCACTTTTGAATCAGGTTCTTTGGTTTCTGTTGTTGTTGCAGTCACCTGTGTTTGTAGATAAAGTTCCATTGGAATGCAGTGTCCCACCCTTCATTTATGTGTATTGTCTCTGACTGCTTTTACACTGACGATAAGGCTGAGTCATTATGCAGAGCCCACTTGGCCAGCAAAGCTAAAATGTTCTCTACAGCCTTTGCAAAAAGTGTTTGGCTGACCTCTCTTCTGATCTATGTTTATGTACACGTTTTCATTTTCATACTATCCACTTATCCTTTTATCACAGATATTAACTCTCTTAACGTTCTATTTACTTTTTTCCTTTTTATTTTTATCCCCTTCTGTATCAGGAAGTTAAACATTCATAAATATTTGGCCTAACTAAATTTTTGCTTACCAGTGCATAAGGTTCTTTTTAACTTTGCTCAAACTTTTGTCTTCTTTTTTTTTGGACAGGGCTCACTGTCGCCAGGCTGGGAGTGCAGTGGTGCTTGTTTGTTGTGTCCTTGACTCTGAGGCAGCCTCCTAAACTGTGAGCGGACAGCTGTTGCTATTTTGTATTTTGCGGATAGTGTCCTTGTACGTGGCCCAGGTGTGTGATATTTAATCAACAGCATCCCCCATGCTCCCAAAGTGCTGGGACTGATTACAGAACCCTGCCGGCAAAGAGATTTCTCCTGTAATGACTCTATTAACATTGGTATTTCTCTTTTACAGTCACCCAGTGATCATCTGGACAACCCAAACTTCCTCAAACTCCCTTTTCAGGCTACGTCAGCTTACTCCACCTATCCACCACTTTTGGAGGAACCTGTTCAGATGGTGATCCAATGAGTCTGCTCCTTTGCGGATGACTTGATATAAAGTACTCCACAAACCTGCTGCCACACAATTGTACTGTGTGAACCCACAACCACGCCATCTCATTAGCCATTCAAAAGACAGCTAGCGGCTCTAATGCTGATACAGAGAGCGTACTGCGATCATTTTCTAAAGACACATACATGTGAAATTTTGAACGTAAAAACAACTATATCCAGAGCTCTAAATCAACAGGTTGAGATTTCCCTGAGGGAACTCTTTCAATTTTCACATTTTAAAATTTACTATATTAAAAAAACTAATTATAGAGAAAAATCAAAAGACATGGCTTTCTCTCAATAAATTATGATTGAGTTTTTTGGTGAAAACCCAATACAATTACATAAGTAGGAGTTATTTTATTGAGAGCAAGACCGAAGGAGATCTAGATCAGGGAGCTATCAGGACAGTGAAAGAAGGCAGTTCCTGGCCCTTTCAATCCCCGTCAGCCAGCCCTCTTGGAACCATGCCAGTCTAGACGGCCTACGGAAAGCGAAAAAACTTGGCACAGAGCCTTCTGTAGTAATCCCCAACAGTAACCGAAAGGGGATGTGGCTAAGCGCAGAAATACCAAGGAAACTAAACCCTGCCATCCCAACACACAGCAACCACACGGCCACAACAGAACAAAAAACCCTACATTCGGCTCCTGCAAGAACAGGGAATGACAACACGAGGCACATTCGCTTTACTGCATTCACACAGCTGGGGTAACCTAGCAAAGGAGAATGGAGATGTCTGAGACATGTAGCTCAGAGATCCACGCCTAAGCAACAACACTGAATGGAAAAGCATCAGTTGCGTGAAAAGAGAGCGTGTGACGTGTGGAAGACGTGGGGAGCAGAAATGTAAGACCTTGATGCAGGAGGATGAGTTAGAAAAAAACCAATCTTTGAAGAGAAGAGGTAAAACAAGAGGAGAAAGAAGAAGGAGTTCCAGGGAGTCGCTCGCAACCAGGGTCGGCTCTTCCCTCCCTCCATCTTCTGGCATCACGGGGCCTATGTGCTGTTCCACGTGGCTGCGTTCCAACAAAGCTCGGGGTTGAAATCGGCTGGACTCATGTAGGCAGAGATCTTTCTTCAAACCTGAAGGGGACGGTTGAGAGAAGGGGCCCGAGTCCGAGTCTGTTGTCTAGTGTGGCTGGAGCAGCCTTGACTGCAGGCACAGCAGCGTCAGGGCCCTGGCCACAGCCCTTCCATGTGGGCTCAGTGCTGGAGCATTCACACAAGTCTCTTTAAGGGTCTAGCTTCTAAGTTAACTCTTCTAATTCTTTAGTAATGTTATGACCATTAATAACAGCTCCATTTACAAAAGAGCTACACTGTGCTGGGTGCTCTATCTCCAAAAGGAATTACAAACAAGACTTTAGAAATCCAACTCGACTACTCTCCAAGGTTCAGTTCTATTATCACATTTTCTCATATGGAAACGAACAGAAGTTCAGGCAACTTCCTCACACTTAAATAGCTAGTAAGGGACAGGGGCTGGGATATAGCTGGTTCTGTCTTAGTTCTAGCATCTTTTTGCCAAAAATTCTTCCTCCTCTTCCACCAGCAAACCCCATGCCGATCCTGTCACTCTGTCTGCCATCAAACATTTCCTTTTCACAGGAGGTCTTGGCTTGCCTAGGATGCCACACACAGAAAGGCCTCCAGCAGACAAAGTGGTTCAGAACACACCTGTGGCAGCCAAGGAAGAGAGCCAGATCGTCACCCAATGGCTTAGCAAACTGGATGAAATGGATAGGGCAAGGGTGAACAGCAAAAGGAATAGGCCAGACCAGAGCTCTAATCATTCCTTAAAGACAGGTCCAAATTCTCCCTGGTAACCTGAGTAACCTCCCTGTGTCCTGTGCCCCACCACATCTCTAGCCCTACTACTGCTAGCCAGTGCACATGAACTCAGGTGTGCTTGACACAATCTTACAGTGAATCAATGACCATGGTAACTTCTAAAGAATTCAAAGAGATCCAGGGCTCCCTCTCCCCAAAGGGGGCAGGGTCAGGGTCAGGGCAGGCTTCAGGCCCCAGCCTAGGCTGTTCCCCACTGCCCTCCCCTCCATCACCTTTAACATAACCTCAAGCTGCTCAGCCTGCGACCAGAACCAGGAGCTGATGGGAACTAGCTGGGCAGCAGGCTTTTTGATGGGAGTGGCAAGGAAACGATTCATAGGCTCAGAAGCCTGTTGAACTAATGCCTTGAATCCCAGATCTGTACTAAAGTAGGGTATGCTGCTCTCAAACAACTTCGCACGGGTGGAGGGATTGTTCCCATGAGTGAGGGCAGGCCCCGGGCCGTCGGTACCAGGTGGTGCCCACACAACACCTTCAAGGGTGCTTCTGCCTGCACTGCAGGCTCTCGCTGGCCACTCATTTTCAGGATGGGGCGGTCATCTATGCATCGCCACTGGCCTCACACCCTGTTCATGCAGAGGAGAAAGGTCGGTGAATAGAGTTAAAATCAGGTGTGCTACTCAGTCCTCACAGGGGAATTGGAAGCATTGGAGGAAAAAGAGAGAAGGAAAGTAAAGAAGGACACTGCCCGCACAGAGCACTTCACAACACTCCGTTCACAGGGGCACCGGGTGTCCCCCCCCCTAATCCAGCTCCGGCCTCAGCCTCCATATCTTCAGGATTCTCACATGGGGGTCCGACCATGCAAAGCTTCTGGGGGTAGCTACGAATACTGCCTGTGGGTTTCGTACTCGACATCAATGCCACCGTGTGTCAGTCCTACTATTGCCAGCTGCATCCGCACTCCTGAAGTGCTCTGCCTCTTCCAAAGCGTCCTGGGCGGTGAAACCCAGGCTGGATGAGGCCTGAGGAGTTTTTCGTTTGTCACAAAAGGGACAGCCCTGACTGCCACCCATAGATCCAGAGGCTCACAGGGAGCCCAGCACAGTCTCCACTGGCTCTGAGGCCTGGAGCAAAGGCCTGACCCTCTCATTCTCAGTTTCCTTGTCTCTAAAACAGGCAAGATAATTCTGTCACCCTGTAGGAATGTTGTAAAGTTCAAATTCCACACAATAGGTACAGTGTGCTGGGCACAGTTCCTGGCATAAAGCCAGCACTCAATAAATGCAAGTTATTCTTTGTGTAGCTCCAGGACTGGGAAAGCATCTCAAAGGAGGGGAAGGAACAAGGGGCATCAAAGAGAAAGGAGGATGGGGGCATCACCTCAAAGCGGGAGATGAAGTCCTTCAGGTTTGGGAAGGCGTCCAGGCAGCCGGGCTCCACTATACGCCTCATGTCAAGGACATCATAGGCGAGGAAATCCACAAAGGTGATCTGCAGAAGGCCAAGAATGTGTGGTATGAAAACCCCGTAACACATGAAGGAAAACAAATCTCATTCCCCATTGCACTCCTCCTTTACCTTGTCTCCTGTAAACCATGGCCGCTTCCCCAGAAACTGTGAGTAGAGCTTTAGCTTTTCAGGGAGTTCCTCCAAGTATTTTGGCTTCAGTTTCTCCTGAGGCAGAAAACAGCTGTCACCACCCTCAGACAAAAGCTCCCTGCATAGACATGGCCTCCTCAGGGCTGTGGATGGCCCAGGCTGGCCGTGGGCAAGCAGCCGTCTTCCCTGCAACTAAAACTGGGGCAGTGCCCAGGCTTCAGCTGGATACGTCAGCATTTATTAGACTCTGACTGGGTGCCAGACCCTATCTGAAGTGATCAGAAGGCAGAGAGGAATGAGATGCTGTCCCTGAATCTGTCCTCACTGTCCTCCCAATGGCCTCTGGGTCAGCCCCAGGAGCACCTGAGCACCTGGCAACCTCTGGACCCAGACATGGGCAGAATCAAGGATGCAAAGAACTACAGGAGCTCAGGGAAAGAAGTAGAAAGTTCCTTCTCATGCGCTGGCAGAAGAAAACAATGAACATTGAATAGTTTCCAGGGAGATGAGAAATTCAGGTTGAAAGGAAGAAGGGAGAGCCACCTTCTGGCTGGCTCTGAGCTGTCTGTTATGAAAATGTGTGGATCCCTGTGCATTTCAATGACAGCACTTGGAAACTATTGAGAAGATGCAATTCAAGAGTGCCATTACATTCCTCTATCTTGTACTTGAGTCTATATATTCTAGGAGCAGTTAAGTGACGTGAACCAGCTGACAGAAATGACCCATGACAGACGCCAGAGGCGATGAAGGAGATTCTGAACACAAACTTTACCATCTAGGAATTGAATTTCTACCCTGGGATGCCTGGATCGTCTCCTAAGAT